TTGGGGACCAGTGCAGGGTCAAGGCCCTTCCAGGATACATGCATCTCCAAGGGCGCTTCTTGGGGGCCGCTCCTACACTGTGGGGACCCACCTGGCACCTCAGTGGTAGAGAGATGACTGTAAGCTTGATATTCAGTAGAGGCAAAAGGAAGTCTCCTCAGAGCCTCCCCACCTGGCTAACAGCAGCAAGTTCTAGGAAGTGAGACCACCAGAAATCCTCTTGGGGAGCCTCATGCCATAAAGAATGACCCCTGGAGCCTGCCTAAGCAAGGTCACCACAACCTCCTCATCTCCTCTGTCCTAAAAATCCATTTGCTGGTCTAAAGAAGCCAATTTGTCCTTCTGGGGGCCTCTTCTCCTTCTCTGTTTTTCTCCCTACTAAGTTAGTTATAGATCCCCAAATGGAGACCACCCTTCACTCACTGAGCAGGCCCTCCAGGGCTGAACCTAAGGCCTCCCCCCACGATGCCTGGTCAGCCACGACATCACCACATGGCACGAGGTCCCTGAAGGGTGAGCTCTTCGTGGACAGAGCAGAACCCCCATCCCAGGCCCACGGGAGCCCCGAGTTACAGACAGTCCACAGCAGCCCAGTTTCTACAAGAACATGAGGACACGCAGACCTTCATGAGGTACTTGGGAGACTTGAATAAGTGAGGTCAAGTTATAAAGAATCCGATTCTCAAAAAACCATTCTAACGAGTACTGCAGCGATCCACTGGCCACTGTCGGGGACACATGGCAATGCCACCCCTGAGCGCAGGGGCTCCACAAGCTATTTGAGTGTGCTGGGGAGTGGTGCGAGTAACTGAATCCAGAGACACTCTTCTTTTGTCTGCTTGCTTCCTGGAATGGCTCCGACTCCACCTCATTCCCACATGCAGTGTTGGGCTCTGACCTGGTGCGTCCACAACACTGTCCTGATAGCAGTGAGTCCAGGGATGGCCATGATGTGCCCTGAGAGGACCAGAGGGTCCCTTTAGCCTCTAGGTACAAGGAGCAGGAGCATCTCCACCACAGGAGAGAGCCTGTCTCCTGTTGGTTCCCACCACCAAGAACAGAGGGAGGAGAGGATGCCTGAGGCTGCAGTCCCACGGTCCCCAGAGCTGCCATGTCCTGCAGCTCTTACATGAACTGTGGGCACGTGAGCAGCTTCCTTCCAATAGGTCCCCTCTTCCGCTGAAGTTGGTGTGAGCTGAGTCTCCCCCTTGTAATCACAAGAGCCCGGAACACCCACCCCACCCTGCCCAGCAGCCGGGGGCCTACTGAGGCAGCGAGGCACCTGCTCAGGATGGATGACAACCAAGATTAGGCCTGAGGCCAGCGGGGACTGGAGCCCCAGAAAGCCTAGTCCAGCTCTCCAGAACAGCCAAGTCCCTTAGGAAGCCAAGCAAGGGCTTCTCGATGGAGGTACACCCAGGGCGGGGCGGGAAGATGAGGAAGAAAGAGCTCCCTCCCCACCCTGGCACTCTCTAGGCCCCGCCCCAAGCTGGAATCCAGACAGCAAACCAGTCTCCTCACACCTAGTTCGCCCCCAACTCAGGGAAGGAGAACTTGAGCTTCAGTGGAAACTAGGCACGGTCCACCTCACACCACCCCACCCCACCTCTGAATCAGGTTCTGAGGAAGCTGCTCCAAACAGAGGGCTTTGCAGGTGACCAAGAGCCACCAGGCAAAATTCGCATCTCCCTGCGCAAATCCCTCTTGGCCAGTCCGGGTGAGGTGTCTGCCTCCCCCACCCTAAACACCAGTGCTGTTCATTTGCGTATTTGCTTCAAAATTCCTAATCACCATCGTTGTTTCTGCTCTTGGGTTTTCTTTCACAACATCTGCCCGATTCTCTCATTGGTTAAAGTAAAACCTTAAGCACACATTTCTTATTTCTGTAGGACAGTCATGATTTTATCTTATTTTGGGAATTATCCTCGAACAAACGGAAGGGCTCTGGGGCTGAGACAGGGTCCAGCTCACACCCTGGGGTCTTGGGCCCCGGCTCTGGATCCGAGGGCCTGGGCCCTGGGCCCTCTCAGGCATCCTAGGTTGTCCTCACGGCCTCTCCTGTTCTCCATGCAGGGCCCAATCGGGCTCTCAGGCTGGCCTCCCACCAATGGGATTCGACCATGCAGCCCTGGGCTGGGCCCACCCTCTGTAGGGCGTGGGGCATCCATGGGGCAATGTGTTCCCATTCATGGCCATCATCTCCTCCTTCCTCTTCCTCTCCCTGAGGGAGCCTTTGTTCGCATCCAGACACGGGCTCAGAGGAGACACGATAAGCATCCACACAGAGGTGTCCAGGGCCAGACTTCCAGGGGCCTGCCCCTCCCCAGGCACCTGTCACTGGAGCTGATGTCAAGCCCTGCCCTTTGATCCATGCCAGTGCTAGGGACAGCAATCTGCTGCCTTGGGCTGGGGGTGAGGTTCAGTGTGTGAGGTCCTGGGTTTGATCCCCAGAACCATGAGAGAAAGAAAAAGGTGGGGGGATGGAGGGAGGGAGAGAAGAAGGAAGAAAGGAAGGGAGGGAAGGAGGAAGGGAGGGGAAGAAATTAAATCGAAGGAAAAAGAAATTTGCCTTATTTTCCCATGTCCTGCTCCTCTCGCGGACACTCTTCACTTCCACATTTATCACTCACCTGCCAGGTCTCAGATACCATGTTGGGTGCCACTGGGATTCCAGAAGTACCTCCCCTTGAGGGACTCACCTTCAGAGACTCGAGCAAAGAGCAACTTATACACGAAGACACAAAGACAAATAGAATAGCTAATGATAATGATGGCAACATCACCAGAGCACTTGCAATGAGCTGGGTATACGTCCAAAACTGTATACAGAGCAGTGGTGCATGCCTGTAATCCCAGAGGCTCTGGAGGCTGAGACAGGAGGATCGTGAGTTCAAAGCCAGCCTCCGCAAAAAACGAGGCACTAAGCAACTCAGTGAGACCCTGTCTCTAAATAAAATACAAAAGAGGGCTGGGGAGGTGGCTCAGTGGTTAAGCACCCCTGGGTTTAATCCCTGGTACCAAAAAAAAGTACACATATTTAACCTGCATGATGAACCCAAAAATAGATACCACGATGGAAAGTGGAGATGTCAAGGGGATTGACGTTAACAGCACTAACTGGGGAGTCTGAATCCAATCCCTCCCTGCCTCTGGAAAATTGTCTCTTTCACTGACAAATAGCATTTGGGTCAAAGAGCAGGCACGTGACCCAAGTCAGACCAGAGTCCTGCTGGGAATTTTCGCCTGGGAACTAGGGGAGAATCTTCTTTCATCTCTGGCCAGGGAGCTATGGGGAGAGGAGTCGGGCTCAAGCTGCTGCTAGTGGCCAGAATCTGTCTTGTAAAAACGTTGCTCAGAGAGAATTAGGATGTCACAGAGAGACAAAGACACGCAAACAGAGTCCCCGGGAGACCCCACTTCCAACAACTCTTCAGCCAGCTCCAACAGTCCCTCCTGCAATTTGACCAGTGAGCCACCAAATTACCCTATTTTTCTTAATCTAGATCCAGTTGATTTTCCACCACTTGCAACCTACAGAATCCTAATTGAGGTAGGTCCCTTGCTCAAGGTCACACAGGTAATTAGGGGCTACTCTCCCAGAAGCCACCTCGCCTAAGGTGCAGTCAGGTTATGGACCACAGGCAGCAGCGGCAGCACCCCGTGGTTTTATTACCTCCAGATGTTTCCAGGGGGCCTGGTATGACCGTGAAGTCACATCATTATCAACAGCCACTCACAGAGAGCTGCTACATGAGAGGCCACGCTAAGCACCGTGAGCCGCATTTAATCTGCCCAAAACCTCCTGTAGTAAGTCAGGCTGCCGCTGCTCTAAAAGTGCAGGGGCAGAGGCTGCGGCTGGGTGCTTCTGCACCAGGGCTCGTTCAGCAGCACCCGAGGTCCTGCACCCTCCACAGCACTGGGCCCTGCCCGGGACTGTTTCCACCTGGGGTCTGGCTTCACCAGGTTGGTCCCCATCCTTCCCAGGGCCATGGCCACAGGCACCCAGATGAAGGCGCCCACCCAGAAGAGAAGCAGCACAAGCTCTACCACCAACACTGAGACCCTCCTTGCTCCCTGCTCCCTGCTCTGCAGCCTGCAGACCGAGGGGGCGCGGAGGTGTGTTTTGTTTGGCATTCACAGCGGTTTTTTACTTTAAAATTTAAAGGTTGGGAATTTTCAGTTAGAGACATGGATGTAAACTTTCCATAATAACCTTTTTTAAATACCTTTTTAAAAAATACATTTTTAGCTTTTCTTGAAAACTTGGCCTTTCTGTGACCAGAGCCCCCCATCTGCAGGACAGAAGTGACAGATAAGCAATCAGATGGTAACAATAAACAAGGTGAGGAGCCCTTATTGGAAAGGGCTGGGACCAGAGTGGCACTGAGTAGCAGCCACCACCTTTGCACAGGGCAAGGGTCTCACCACGCATCTGCCACCGGCCTCTCCCTCCTTCCTGGCAGGTCCCTGTGAACATCACAGCCTGCCTGGGGACGGGAAGCCCTCCACAGATGGACAGCTCTCTGCTGCCTCCCAGCAGGAGTTGAGCATTTTTCATACCTTTATTTTAATTGTTTTTATTTTTCTGTGACTTCAGGGATGGAACCCAGTGCCTCACGCATGCTAGGCAAGCGCTCCACCACTGAGCCCCAGCCCCAGCCTGCAGTTGGGCATTTTCTTAAGGGATGAACCTGAGGAAGTCCCTTCAACTCCAGAGCAGGCATGTTTGGCCCAAGTTCTGAATGGTCCAAGCCCAGAACCTCCTGTCCACAGGCTCCTGGCTGATGGCCTGGGGGCCCCCTCAGCAGAAGGTAGGTGCCCACAGCCTGGGACGGACGTCAGGCCAGCCGGGCAGCCATGTCACAGCACGTGGCTGGGAGGCGGTGCCCTCTGGCTGGGGAGCAAGCAGCGACTCCCCCACATCCTCTCTGGGAAACCACAGGCCTGAGAGGCCAGCAGGATGGCCCGGCCCACCCTCCCCAGGGCATAGGGACACTCACGATGTTCATGAGGGTGAGCACGTAGTTCTGCACGTGTTCCTTGCCGTGGAAGCGAACCACGGAGTCATCCACCGCCAGCAGCACCTCGATGCTGTAGCTGCCGGGCTTGGCATGGCGCCGCTTCCGCTCCGTTTCGCCAAGCCGGGCCCCTGCCAGGCCCAGCAGGTTGGGGAGGTCACCCAGGCCGAAGGCTGGAACGAGATGGGAAGAGAGTGAGGCTGTGCTGCTCGTGGAACTGATTTCTATGAACATTCACATATCCACAGTTACAGGAGAAGCCCCGATGGGGGGGCCAGGGCAGGGAGGTCAACAAGTCACCACTACCCTCCCAGCATGCACCAAGGTGAGTCTGCAGGAGGGGCCCCACCCTCACTAGATGGATGGATGGGGGTGGGTGATGGGGGGGGGGCCCTGCCTTTAAGTCCATGGCCTAGGGAAGGTGGCAGAGAAGAAGTCAGACTGGAACAATAAATCAGGTGATGATCCCTTATTGGAATGCTTGGGACCAGAGTTTCAGATTTTGGAATATTTGTCTAGCCTTTGCCAGTCGAGTGTCCGGAATCCAAAAATTGAGTGACATCTCCTGATGGCTATGATGTCTATGCCCACCAGTGAGTGCATTAGCTCACACACACACACACACACACACACACACACACACACATCACTAGGAAAAAAGAGGGAAAGCCCCTAAGAAGGGAGGACAAGGGGCAAGTATACTCTCCAGGGAGTGGGGAGAAATAACGGCCACCTCACGATGTGAGCAGAGTCTGGAAATTTCAATGCTGCAAGTGAAATACTGGACTTGATCCTTGGGATCCTCCAGGTCTGTTCAACAGAGGTTCAGAGAAGTTACCTGATTTACCCTCAGTCACACAGCAAGTTAAAGGCAAGAGCCCAGATGTACACCTATGTCTCTCCCTCCTCCATTACCACGCCATACCAAGGCCCACCCAGACTTCCCTCCCAGCAGACACGTGGGGAATTAAAGGGAAAGGGAGCTGACATCAGATGCTGGAAATGTCCCACCCACATTCTTCTATGTGTCCCTCCTCCATCCGGCCCTCAAGGCCACACCAGGGGCCCACCAGACCTGGGAGGCTCCGATGAGCCCACCCAAGAAGCCCCAAGTGAATATAAAGTGGTGCAGTTGCTTTGCAAGAACAATTGGCAGTCCCCCAAAAATTTGAACCTAGACTTACCATATGACCCATTAATTGCACTCCAGGTACATACATACCCAGGAGAACCGAAAGCATATGTTCACATAAAACTTGCACACAGACACTCAAAGAAGCACCGTCCTAAAAGCCGAGCGTGAAACCATCCAACTATGCTGTTGAATGGGCAAATAAAAGGTGGTATATTCATATAATGGAATATCTATCACTCAGTCATAAAAATGAGTGAAGAGTTAATGCACACCAGAATGGGGAAGGACCTTGAAAACATGCTAAATAAAAGAAGCCAGTCACCACGGGCCACATATTGCATGATTCCATTTGCAGGAACATCCTGAACAGGAAGTCCATAGAGATAGAAAGTTGCCAGGGACCTGGAGGGGGAGGAACAAAAGTGACTACTGAAAGGGGATTTTTATGGGGCTGATGGAGATGTTCTGGAATCAGAGGGTGATGGTTGCACAACATTGTGAATACAGGGGAAAATGAATTGAATCTTTAAAATAGTTAAAATAGTGAATTGTAATTTGATTTTTAAAAAACAGCAGCGATTTTGGCATAGTGGACGTGCCTGTAATCCCAGCTACTCGGGAGGTTAAGCAAGTTCCAGGCCAGGCTCAGCAACTCAGCAAGACTCTCTCAAAATGAACAAATAAGAAGAGCTGGGGTTGTAGCTCCATGCCAGGGCACCCCTGGGCTCCTGGGTTCAATCTCCAGTGCCACAGATAAATAAACAAATGGTGGCAGCAGGCCTGGGGCAGGGCCAGAGCCTGGGCCACAAGACTGCATGCCCCAATCATGCCCAGTTCCCTCCAGGGGGCACTGGGGGAGGGAACCGGGTTACAGAAAACAGGCCCTGCTTGAAGAAGGGAAGACTGTTGGGATCAGGGGGTGTCCAGGGCACAGCTACAAGGCCAAGGCAGGTCCTCAAGCAGTCCCGGGGGTCTGAGTGAGGTGCTATGCACCTAGAGGTCCAGCCAAGCGAACTCCCAACTCTGGACTCAAGAGGGTCTTGATTTCTCACTGAGCCCTCCAGGGGAGCACTGCCTACCTCTACTTTGGGGCCTGTCAATGACGTGTGAGAGAGTGTGAGCATGAAGAGGGGTGTGTTAGCATGTGCAGGCACGAGTGCGTGCAGGGTATGAGAGTGTGGGTGTGCTAGTGCAACAATGTGTGAGTGTGTGTGCAAGCGTGGAGCTAATTGGGTGTACATAGTGTACACGTGGAGGTAGGGGTAAGTGTGTGTGTACAAGTTCATCTGTGTGTGTGTGTGTGTGTGTGTGAGAGAGAGAGAGAGAGAGAGAGAGAGAGAGAGAAGCAGCCGCCTAAGCCATAACCTGAGTGCAAGAGAATAGTGCCCTCTGCCCCCAAGTTCATGGGCATACATAAGACCCCTTTAAAGTGGGGGCCCAGGAGGCAGGAAGCCCCAGGGACTCAGCTAGGCTAGCAAGCCTGTCCAGTGGGGCCCTGAGTCTCCCCTCCCGCTCCCCAGCACGGAGAGGAGCCACAGAATGACAGGACCACGGAGCCTGAGTGTCTGTCCTCAGAGACCTCCCGGCCTGCATGGGGAAGGAGCAAACAGCACTCCAGGGCCCGACGGACTAGGGGAGGGGGCACCTGACAGGATGGGGACAGGCAGAGATGGGGCTGCCCAGGCTGAGGGCAAGTCCTCCAAGGGCTGGCTGCTGACCTGCTCTGGGCCATTTCTTTCCTTCCATGCTGAGAAGCAGACCCAGAGCTGGAGGAAGCCTTTCCTCTCCCTCCAGCAGGTGACATGGAGAAAGGCAGGCCCAGGCACATGTCCCCACACACAGGGTGCACGCCCATTGCTGCCCTCAAATCAGGTCACAGGTGTGCAAGAAAGCCCTCTATTGTCCCTTGTATTTCTGAGGAAGGGCCACAGGTGGGCTGCCCACGCGAGTTTCAGCCAGGCATCCTGGGGTGCGGAAGAGACACATCCCCGTTTCCCGGCACTTGGACTCTGACTTTGGAGCTCAGCACTTTGGCTGCCCACTGCCAGGCCCGTGGGCAGATGAGGAGTTTCGCTCCTGTTCACAGCAGTGGGGCTGGACTTCCCTCAGGCCTCTCCCCAGAAGGAGGATTTATGGCCTATTGATTCAAAATTGGCCTCAAATAAAATCCAAGAGAGATTTATGGCCCTTCTCAGCCATGGTGGGGACAGTGCCCACCGCCAGCCACCTCCTGAGCTCCATGCCAGTCCTCGGAGCTCGCTCGCCCCAGGCCTGCAGAACCCTCTGTGGTTCCTCTTCTGAGTGACACTCAGGGAGCAGCTGGGGCTTCAAGGGAGGCACTGTATGTGGGGACAACTGGTTTCCAGGCATTCCTTCACGGGGCCCAGGCATGAGGGTGTGACCCTCCCAGGACCAGATTCCACCCAGGTCTCGTCACCAACTCTTGGCCAAAGGGGCTTCACGAGAAAGCTGAGTGTGACCTGAAGTTGGCTGCAGGCCCAGGACGAGCACCCGTCACGCTTTGTCTCATTCACTCAGCCATGCATGGGTCCTGAGTGCTGCCCGTGTGCAGGCCCCTCTGTTGGCCACCAGGATGCAGGGGTGCCCACCCTGACACGCCAGGAGTTACCCCCAGGAACAAGCATGAAAGCTACCATTTATCAAGCACCTACTGTATGCCAAGTCCGTGCTGGGATTTCTGTAGTCACTCTCATCAATACAAATAATATCTAGCAGGTAGACACTGATCGTCCCCACTTCCCTGGCTAGGAAAACGAGGCTCAGAGACATTCAGGAACTTGACAAAGGTCACAGCGTAGAGAGTTGGAGGCAGGAGTTTGAAATGGGCCACTGGAGGCTAAGCTGATCTCAATGGCCTGACATCAGGCAGCTTCCCCAAGCTCCTTGAGAACTTCCTTCCTGCAGCTTCTACAGGGTGGAATTAGTGTTAGGGGAAAGACAAACTGCAGCCACTCCACCTCCTGCCTTGCTCAGAGATAGCCCTGGGGAGGAAGGCCAGCCCCTCAGCGAGTCTAGAGGACCAAGGATCAGAGTTCAGGACATGAGTGGCTCCTGGGGCCCCCATTCCAGCCAGTCGAGAGGCTCCTCCAACCCACTGGGGTTTCTCGGCTGGGACTGCAGGTCTGTGTGGCCCAGTCTCATTTTATAGGTGAGAAAACTGAGGCCGGGCACTGACAGATTGAGGCCAGAAGTTACCCCAGAAGTGTACACAAGGGTCGCGTTTGGGGCCCTGCCCACATCCTACCTTCATTGTGAAGGTCCCCGTGAGGTTCTGCCCACTCCCGCTGGACGGCTTCCCGGCGGTACACCACATGGGTCCTCCCGCTGGCCTCCGTCTCCTGCTGCCCTCGCTGCAGAGGCTCGATGAAGTAGTCGGAGCTGTCTGTGCGGATGAGGCCCGCCTGGCAGGGGTGCGGCCAGCAGGAGGGAAGAAAGAGAAGAGATGTGAAGACACGGCACAAGACAGGCGGGCGTCCATCAGTGCCAACAGGTGGCCTTTGGCAGGCCTCCTGGCCTGGGATCCAGAACTTCGTACGTCAGGGAAGCGGAGGGAGTGGGTGGGAAGCGGAGCGGGTGGGGCCATCCCTACCTGGAGCAAAGTAGAGCCACGTTTACTGTGCGGGACTCTGATAAAATTTTATTTGAACCAAGGGTCAGTGGCTCTAAAAGTGGCAGAAGTGTGAAAGTCACAAGGGATGAGCTCACACACCAAGGGCCACATCCCAACCCAAGGACATCACGTGGATTTGGCCTTACCAGTGAGCAGAGTGGGAAATCCTAGCAACAAAGGCCGGTCACCTCTTAGGTGGGCGGTGGCCTCCACTCCAGAATAAAGGGCCCCTGTGTCAGCACGTGTAAAGCACGTGTGCACTTACGCCAGGGCAGGGGGCAGCTAATGCTCCCCCATGAGAAATGATTTCACACAAGACCACACATTCTGTTTTCCATCTAATTTTTTGCATGCATCAAAATATTCCCTTAAAAAAAAAAACCAGGGGTCAGCTGTGGAAATAAAAACATAATCTTGGCCAAGCCAGGCAACTATGATATTAGCCACCAAGGAAGGCAATAATCAAAGGGGCCAATAAAACATAGAAATAGACGTGCGTTAACATATGTGTGTTTGCCTGTAAATGCAGAGACAGGAGCGCACACACACACCTCATCTGTGTGAGACCAGCCCACCTACCACAGTGCGTGGAAAAGATTAGGCGTTAATAAATAAATACGTGTGGGAACTGTTCACTCATTCACCAAACATCCACTGAGTGTGTACAGCATTCAGGGGATGGGGCATGTCAATTTCCATAAGTCAACTGGACCCTGGCCATTTGCATTTCTTTTTCTTTCTGTTTCTTGATTTGCTTTGCTTTGTTTTGTTGAGATGGGGGATCTTGCCATGTTGCCGAGGCTGGCCTTGACCTCCTCGTCCTCCCATCTCAGCCTCCCAGCTGGACTACAGGTGTGCACCACCGCACCTGGCTCTGAACTCCCTTTTTAAAGCAGCCACTTGAGGCAACCCAATTGCACCCGTTTCTCCAGCTTAGCCTGTTCTGGAGCTGCATCATGGGGTCCCTCCCGGTCCACTGAACACCCACCCCAGCAACAACCCAGCTTTTAACACCCTCTCACACGAGTGGATGAAAATGAAAACACGCTTCTGGGTCAAAACCAAGAAGGCAGCCTTCCAGAGCTCATCACAGTCCCCATCAGGAGGCCGAGAATCTTCCAGGGAAAAGGGCAGCATTATTGTAATGAGTTTGCAGCTTCCCCAGGAACCATCTGATCAGATGACAAGCAGTGGCGTGCAAAGGTCCCGGGGTGCCTGTTAAAACGTCAGCATCGAGCCTGACACTGAGCACATTTTCATTCACTCAAAGCACTTTAACTTTGCACCATTCTGTGCCCTGGGCAGGGAGGAAGAAGTAGCCTTTGGCTAGGAGTTGCTCGTCCTCTGAGTGACAAACTGTCCTGCCCAGTGCTACGTTGGGGCGTGACCAGGTGTCCCAGAGGAGTCCTGGAGGATGGGTACACACCAGGTTGCAAGAAATAAAACTTCAACTCGAACCCCTCGCACATGCCCAAAGGGGAATGTGTAGGCCCCATGACAAACCCCAGCAGGGACAGGGACTGAAGTAAAGGAACCAGATGCCCTCGGCTGCCCCGCGTCAGCTCCATCCTCTCAGGCAGGTAGAGATTTGCTTGCAGACACATTTTCTCTTGGCCACCAGAGACGAGACCCTCCCCTCACGGTCCCATAAGCACAATCCAAGGGAGGGCTGTGGGGTCCAGGTTGAGTCACATAGTCACCCTGGGATCGGCAGCCACCAGACATCCATAGTCAGAGGAGGGGGACAAATGCAGGGAAAGATGGGAGAAATTGGTGGGGCTTCGAAAGCAGCCCACCTAGGATGGAAGGGCATACTACGTAGAGGGTCCCCTGGGCCACGATGTGGAGGCATAAGGGACAGTGTTGCCAAATCCCAGGGCCTCTACCACCTGCAGAACCTCCTGAGGGAAGCCCGTCTTCAGGATACGCCAGGGTGGAGGACAAAAGGGACAGCGGGTGGTCTCCAGGGCACACACCAGAACTGCTGCAGCCCTGTGGACATGAGGGCTTCTGAAGAGGCTCTGGGCCATGTCCCCCACCATGCCCTCCTGTACCGCTGTCTGAACGGGAGGTTGGAGGCCGTTCCTGCCCTCAGAACAGGCAAAGCCAGAGACCCTCCCTGCCCAGGCCCACCCAGAGCCAGACCAGGCAGGTGGCCTGAGGTGTCAGGCCCTCACCCCTCTCTGAAGCAGGCTGACAAGAAGAAGCCTCCAGACCAGAAGACAGAAGTCTCCCCCAAACCTCTGGGGCCCAGGCTGGACGCCTCTCCCAGGCCCTCCTCTATTCTGGGACTTCGTTAACCAACCGCACGAAGGGGTCCCCTCCGAACCTGCCAGTCCCTGCCTCAGTCCACATGGCCTCGTCAGAAGAAAGAGTTCCAGAATGACCTGCACGGTGTAGGGCTGAGCTGTGAGCCGCTGCCTTCTGAGCCACAATGCCCCACGGACCCCACGGACCCCAAGGGCCTCCTGCCTGTCAGTCTGAGGCTTCCCGCCGCCAGCGACAAAACCAGCAGGGGCTCTTCTTTTGCTTGTCACCTCCTGTGACAGAGAGCTTCCTCCCTCTCACAACACACTCTGTGAGGTCACTCCTCACATTTTACTGAGCTAAAGAGCACACCCTACATCCCGCCCTCTATAAACAGTCTTATTGTCACCGTTATTACTGACGGTAGTGCCCGCCACTCACGTTTACACAGATCATCTCACCATCGTTGTGTGCGCGGCCTGTGGCATAGGCACTAATGTGAGACCCATTTGGTGGATGAGCAAACATGTTCAGAAAGATTAAGTGATCTGCCCAAAGTCACCCAGCAAGGGTCAGCACGAGGACAGGACCAGCTCCGTGCAGCTCCTGATTACTTCAGGTCATCTCTGGACCTGCTTCTGCCCTCGTGGGCCACTGGGCACAAGGAAGCATGCCTTCCCTAATCCCACCTACAGATCCCAGGCCTCTGTGTGACAGTGCGGGGCAGGGATGCGCCTTCCTGCTCCAGGCAAAGCCTTCCTGGGAGGCCGCCCACCCCCCACAGCAAACGACCTGTAAGAGGAACAATCCCTTCCTGCTTCTCGGTGTCATTGGCCTAAAAGGATTCTGAGCCCCACAAAGCCCCTTGGTGTCCCTCACTCAGCTCTTCCCCTCCATAGGTGGACTCCACAGGCTCCTGGGTCTGGTCCAGCCTCCCTGTCCCCAGGCCTCACCCTGGGGTGAAGACTCTGCCTGCCCTGACTGTTGAGGACAAAGGAGCCAAGCAAGCTGGGAAATGAGTTTCTCACTTCCTTTGGGACTGCGTGTCCTACCAGCCTTTCCAGGGATCAAGGGCAGACCCTTCCCTTGACTCTTCTTGTCCTGCCCGTGCATCGTGCCTGGGCCTTGCCCAGGTTCGGCTCCCCTGGGCCTCAGGGATGCTCGTCCTGGAGAGGACGGCTGGGCAAGGTCAGCCCTAGCGCCCGGCGCCAGCTATCATTAAACTTCATCAAGCACTCCTAGGTGTGACCCACCTGGGCGGCCTGGGCCCAGCCTGTCCCCACAGACCCCTGCTGCCCCTCTGCACAGTGAGAGGTTTGGCCCAAGTTCCCTTGAATCTCTGCCCTGGCCAGGAAGCTAGGCACCACTCAGGGCAGACAGACTGGCAAGCAGCGCTTTCTGGCTCCCTGCCTCTTCACTAAATTACCCCCATTTCTCTCAATTTATGAGATGTTTATATTTCTGAAAAGTGGTGGTTAATTTGAAAGCACTAAGATCAAATCAAATTTCGGGATAAAAAATCAAGAATAAGTGGGAATCTAAACTCTGGTAGGCCGGAAAATAAAAGCCAGCCATATCTATTTTCACCAACTTTTTTGCAAACAGTTCAAAAGTAGGAAATACACCCTGGAAAGGCTCTTCATGCAATAAAAACAAAACAAAAAAATCACTGATGACATGCCGTGGAGCCACATGCCACACGGCCCTCAGCCAGTCTCTCCATGAGCGGGCCCGGCCACCCCAGCCTTGATCTAAACTCCCTTTCATGTGGCCGTTCTTCGGTGTCTTTCCTGGGAGGTGGGTGGCTGGTTAGGGGTCAGGGTGAGGAGGACTATTTGAATTTTCCGTTGTGACTGGTGACATCATTTGATCCAGAGGCCTCCGGGCCACACTGAGGTTTTCCATTCTAGGCTCCCCTCAGGGAGGCCCCAAGTCCATAGTGTAATTCCAGGGCACTGAAGAAGACCTGGTCACATGGTAAGTGGAGAGGTGAGGGCTGCCTTAGGTATCCCCTTGTGGCCTGCTCTGGGCCTAACTGAGCAAATTCAGTCGGTCACGAGTCGGTAGATGTCTACTGGCAGAATGAGGTCCCAAATATGGTAGCACAGAGTGAAAGCCAAGTCATTTTGAGATCTGTACATACGTGTACATGCGTATGCGCAGATGTGTTCACTTCTAAAGCTGCATGTGTGTGCTTTCAATCGGGAGGCAAGGGTGCACTGAGCCAAACAGCAGACCTCAAGGGAGGCAGAGGAAGAGATCCACGGGGACCGGAAACATTCTCAGATGGACCAGAAGTCCAGGCTTAGACACGGGGGACCTCTAACTGTGCCATCAGGTGCAGAGAGAACGAGGAAGGACAATCTATAGTCCAGATAGGTCCAGATGGCTCTGAAAGGGTAGCCACAGGCCCTCTAGGAAGGGGCGTCCCGAATCCCCTTGCTGTCCCCTTGGGTGCCCCAACCTTCCTATATACCTAGAGAGGGGACCCATTTCAAGACAGCAGTCTGTGGAGCCAATCACGGGGTGGGCTGGGGCTCCTCC